GCCACTTATTAACAAGTGCAGGGAGAAAAGCAGCAGAACAAACCCACACCTTGGCCTTTTTGCTCCCGAGAGCATCAGTGAAAGGGCAATTAAAAGGAAGTGCAGCTTTCTGCTTCTGGTTGAGCAGGTTTGATGGGTGGTTTAAAAGGAAAAAAAAAGGAAAAAAACCCACAGTGTTTCACATGCCTCCCTGTCATTTTTCACAGGAGAATGCCCATTAAAAGGCAGAGCCATGAATTCCCATGTAAGGAGCTCAGCCTGGTCCTGCTGGGTGATGTGCACTGGCTGTGCAGAGATTATACACAGGGTTGGTGGGCAGAGGGGCAGCCTGGCTTGTTTAAATATTCCCAGAGACCTGGACAAGCTCTAAGCTGCTCCCTGCACCTGTGTCCTCCCCCCAGGTTGGTACTGCCAAGGGATAAGTACCCATAAGCGTCAAACACTTCCCAAGTGAGTTTTGAGTGCTGTTAATTCTTTCCGTGATTCTTTTCATGGGAGAAAACGAAGCAGGACTGAGCAACTGAGTGAATGTCTTCGACCTCTAAAACACAACTGGGTGTGCTAGAAGCACATCCTGCCTAAAATAAAAGTGTGAAACTACCAGCTCCCGTCCCCCTTTTTCGCTGATCTCAAGCAGCTCCCCTCCCTGCAGGAGGGTTTTGCTGTTGTGCTTGTTCCCAGCCAGCCCAGCTCCAGCGTGGAGCCCAACTAATAATCCCCCCAGAACTTATTAGCTCAGGTTTTGTGGAGTGTGTGGCCTCTAATGAGGGTGTTCTTCACTGTTGAGGCAGCACTGAACTAATGCCCCCTCGGGGTGGGCTCTCCCAGGCTTCAGACCCCGCTCAGCGTGCGAGGACGTGGATGATTTGTAACGCAGGTCTTTCCACCGCTGTTCAGGGAGGTGTCCCCGCTGCTAAGGTTGGTTTGCAACAGTTTTTTTGAGCTGCTGGGAAAGTTTCAGGGTACTGGAGGGAAGCTGGATTTGTATCACTGTTAAAAAACACACAAAGGAAGTGAAAGAAAAAGCGCAAATTGGTGCAAAACTCCAGCGTGGATGCTCTGTGGGTGCCTCTTTCTGTAAGGAAGGGTGAGACAACCTCAACGTGGCACACGTGAAAAGGATTAAAACCTGGTTTGATATTTGATTTCAGGATGGATTTATTGACTTCTGGTTTTGGGGGTGAATCAGGTGATTGTGGTTTTGAACAGCTTCTGTGCCACCTTTTAATATGTGGTGTCTGTTTTTTCCTGGAAGGAACTCCTGAAACTTGTGTGGGGTCAGAAGTTGGAATGGCCCTGCGTGAAGAAGATGCCTCAAAGCAGAGTCATTCAACATCTCTAATCAACCCCTTGTGTAGATAAGGGCAACATGGTGATGGTCTAAGAGAGAAAATTGGAGAGTGAAAGAAAGGTCACCTTTTTGATCTCCTGCCTATTTGGGGCCTTCTCATTGAATTTTTACAGGGAAGAAAGGCAAGATTCTAGTTTTGCTCAGTGGAGTTGGGAGCGTCAAGGTCCCCAGATCACTGACCTGGGGTGACTCATGGCTGGTGATGAGGGTCACATTTAGCAGTGAAGGTACAGAGCCACCACAGGTGATTTTTAAGCTGATTGTCCATTTTCCCAAAGGAATTTTCCTGTTCAAACAGGATTAATCCCAAGCAGTGGGGTCTTTGCCTTGGGAGGTTGGACCACGGCTTTCAAGCACAGTATGAGCTGATGATCCCTCTGGTTTTCCTAACCAGTCATTTAGGACTTCAGATGTCAGCCTGGCAGACTCCCACAAACTCTGCCCTGCTTTCCTAGCACAGCTATTTTTTGGTGTGGAGAGCAAGGCCCACGAAGGGAACTCACTCCTCAAGGTCTGCTTGGCCTTGGTGGCATGTGGAGCTCTGGGCTCACCCGAGGGTGGTGATGGTGGCAGGAGCACGATGCCAATGTGGTGACACTCCAACAGCCTCATTAATTCACCCAGTGCTCATGCATGGAGCTGCCTGGCACCTTGCAGAGACTTGGGTCACCCGTCACGTGTGGTCCAGGCTGGTGGAGATGATGACACGTCATGTTTTGTGGAGTCTTCTTGAAGTTTGGAAGAGGAAGAGCAGCGTGAAGAACCACGTCCTGCTGCTCTGGACTGTGACAGTGGTTTTTTTTTTAGCTTAATAGCCTGATTATCTCACTTGCTTCTCTCTTACTGCACTTGTTCTAATGCCTACAGTGACACACAGTGGTGATGGGTTTGTGCTCTGCCAAAGCACTTGCCTTGACACGGGAGGTACAGGACACTGTGGATGGTGGGAATGGGGACTGCCACGCTCCCCTTGCAGGAACACACTGCCCTGGGCTGGATCCACCTGCTGCTGGGACTTGGGCTGCAAACTGCTCCTCAGATGGCCAGATGAGGAAGCTTGGGAGCTTTTTACTCTTCCATCCAATATATTGCTCATTTCCTACTGAGTTTCTTCCCAATCAGCAGAGAACTGCAGGTCTCATAAGCTGATTTGTACCAGAAATGCCACACTCAAATCCTCTATTTTCTGTGACAGTGCAATTATTTTTTTTTTGTCCTTGTGTAAGAAGCCACTGAAATGAGAGTTCACTTTTGGCTGTTGGGTTTGGCTGTTGCTCCTCACGCTCCCATTGTGCCGGAGAGCCCAGCAGGCAAGTGTGGCTCCCCTGGTCCTTAGGAGAACATTCTTCATTGTCACTGGGTGTGTTCACCTTTCCTCTCCAGGTGATGTGTTTGTAGATGGCAGTTTTCATCAGGATTATTCCATTACTCCATTTCTGAAGATTTTTGGATTTTCTTTTCTTTTCACTTGCTTTGAGAAGGAAAATGATCAGATGATGGGAAGTCTTGGGCTGTCTTCCTGCTTGAGCTGTTGCTCCACTTGGCAGACTGGAGAGTGGCTGTGTAGAATCATAAATCACAGACTGGTTTGGGTTGGAAGGACCTTAAAGCTCATCTAATTCCACCCCCCTGCCACAGGCAGGAACATCTTCCACTAGCCCAGGTCTCTCCTAGCCCTGTCCAACCTGGCCTTGGACACTTCCAGGGTAGCTCCAGGCAAGCCTCTATTTCCAAATCCCAACTTTCCCAGCTATAAAGAAGATGCAAAAACATCCTGTTAGAAAGGTCTGGAAGTTGGAGGCAAGCTGGAAACAAATGCACTTCAAATGGGTGGAAAACATGGAATCATCTGTTTGTGAGGCACCATCCCTACCAGCAGCAGTACCTGGAACTCGAGCTGCACCCCTGGAGATGGTTCTGGGCTGAGTGAGGAGTCCCCTTGGCGTGTCCCGGCGTGGGAGAAGCAGCTCGGTGAAGCAGAGCAGATGTGCTGGGTCTCCGTCCTCCCGAGAACGCTCCCCGCTGGCAGCGCGACACAACCGCGCGGGTCAAGGTCAAGTTGTTGGCAGCTGCATCCCTGCCGAGCCGAGCCAAAGGGGCATAACCCCCCCCCCCCCAAAAACAAAAAAACCCACCAGAATCCCTCGTCTCCGCAGTGCCGCCGGGCCAGAGGGCAGCGGGCTGGGGTTGGCAGCCCGCGGGGTCCCGGGGGAAGGGGCGGCCGCGGGCGCGCAGCGATGCCGGGCTGCTCCTCCGCCCGCGGGGGCGCAGCCAATTGGCGGGGCTGGAGCAGCGACACATGAAATATGATAATTTTCTGCCGAACAGGAGGAGGAGGAGGAGGAGGAGGAGGGGGGGGGAGAGAGAGGGAGGGCGGGAGAGCCGCTGGCTCCCGATGGTTCGCATGCCGGGGGCTGCCGAGAGGAGCGGCCCGAGCGGAGCCGCCGCAGCCCGGGGATGGCCCCTCGCTCCCCGCTCCCCGACCAGGACGATGCCGATGCCACCCAGGTGGGCCGGGCGCCGGTGGCACCAGGGGGACGCTGCCAGGGGGTGCCAGGCCTGGGGGACCCCCAGCTTTGGGGACTTATTGGCAGAGCGCTGTCCCCCCGGGAGGCTGTGCCGCTCACCGGCGCTTTGCGGTGCTGGCTTAGTGGAGGGCTGAGCTCTTTTTTTTCTTTTTCTTTTTTTTTTTTTTTTTTTAAGGGGGGGTTTTGGTGGGGTTTGCTAAAAACCCCGAAATCCCACTCCTGCAGGAACGCTTTAATGCTGTGCCAGGGCTGCTCGGTTCAAACTTCGCAGCCTGATCCTTAGTTTGATGGGAAGCACTTGACAGAGCTCCTCTCTGCATGTCATTAACCCTCTCACACCCCTGCCTGGCACGGAAACTGTTAATCCCTAAAATTCACTCGCAACAGATTTAACCCTGACAAGGAGCGACCGTAGAACTCCCGGCATGGCATCCAGCAGCTGTTCATTTTTATAATGACTTTGCATTTATCCCAGAGCTGGAGAGCTGGGTGGCAAGTTTTCAGATCATTATTATTATTATTATTATTATTTTCCCAAAGGCGAGGGGGACCTATTAAAAAAAAAAAATAATCCTACAATAATCTTCCTGAAGCAAAGCTGTGAGTGCAAACCACCCTCCCCCTGCTCCGGCTGTGCCGTCGCTGCCGTTTTATTAATTTCTCTGCGCCGTGAGTGACAGTCCTCCAGAAGTGATAATTGGTGCACTGTGTCTTTAAAAGGTTAAAACCCTTTTCAAAAAGGCCTAGACTCATAGTGGGAAAAGACAAGAGAGGCTTTGGCTGGCTTTGGATCCAGAAAACAGCTGCTGATTAGAGTCTGCGTCTTCGGGCTGGATTTATTACATATTTTTCAGCAGCAGGGATTCTAGGAGGAAGCTTCCGTTTGGGTTTCTTGCTCGTGGTTTATTTTTATTCAGAGGAATAACAGAGGAAGGATTTGTTCCGGCTGGAGCATGCTCACAACCTGCAAGACCTCCCATTATTAAACTGCCTACTTTGGGCTTTAATATACATGGAGTGTTTTTGTTATTATTTTTTTATTTTTATTAGCGTTCTTGTTGTTTTGGCAGGGGGCCTCTCTCTGTTTTTTTTCTTTTATTATCTTTTTTAAATAATTTATTTTGAAAGGAAGCTGATCTCGTAATGAGCTTTCTCCTTCCTCACTTGAAACAGGTGCTAATGAAAGAATGCAAATAGCACCGGCTGAGCCGAACATTTCATAAAGAAGGGAACAGCCACCGACCCCAAAGGCTCCGGGATCTGCCCGCCGGCCCCCACCAAAGGTAGGCGCGGGGGCTTTTGTCGCTATTTTTGTCGTTCTCTGCGTGGATATTCGCTCGGGTTTTTTCTTTCCCCCCTCCCTCGCTGCGGCCGGCGAGATTCCATTTTGCCTCCCGAAAGGTGTCAGGTTGCCACGGGGCGCGCTCGGACGCTCGTATTCCCGATGGATACGGCGCCTGGATCTCCGGGGTGGCCGCGCCTGGAGCGATGGGCGAGCGCTGGGCGAGCCCGGCGGTGTCACAGCCCAGCCCCGCAGCCGCGTCCCCGCCACGCTCGCAGCTACTTTGCCGCTTAATTAGCGCTGGCTGTCGCATGAATTTATCGTCGCTTGACAGCAACTTCATTTTCTCCCAACGTGCCGGGAGAGAGAGAGAGAGAGAGAGAGAGGATGGTTATTTTAGCGCTGGCGGGTGGGAGGCAGCGCTGGGGGCGGTGGGAGGGAGGGAGGGAGCGAGCGCCGGGTGTGTGACAGCGCCGTGTGACAGGGACCCGGCCGTGCGCAGGGACACGCGGCTCCCGGGGCATCCCGGCCACTGCGGCGCTGGAAAAATGGACATGTTGCTCCACGGGGGAGCCTGGTCCTGCTCCCGGAGCCTGTGCCCGGGGCCTGCTCCGCTTCCCAAGCTGCGTTCGCGCTCCCTGCGGAGCGCAGGCGGCCGATCCCCGGTGCTACACAGCGCGGGGATGGATGTCACAAAATAACATCCCGAGCCTGCTTTTAACAGCTGAATCCCCGCACAAAGCAGCGGGGTTTGCACCCCCTGCCTGAGCTTATTTTCCCGAGCTAGGGTCTGGCGTTCAGGCATCATCCTGCCGAGGTGGGTGCTTTGGGGAGCCCGAGTTTCCAGCGGAGGCAGGAGGAGGATCCGCAGCCCATGCGGTACCTGCCCGCGGCTCCCGCCGGGGCTCCGGCTTCGCTGCCGTGTTCCGACTGCAGTGGCCTCTCCGAGGGCCAAATCCGGCCCTCCTCGGGATCATCCGGCTCCTGCGGCTGGATGAACCTCCGAGGGCAGGAATTAGCCCTTTGTCTGGAAGTTTGCGTTTATATTTTGCGGTGTTTACTTGTGTTGGAGCCGTATGTTTCTTCTCTCTGAGTGCATGCGGGTTATTTGTAGGTTTTTCTCCTGCCTGTTTAGGGAAGGATCTGCAGAAAAGTTTACCCCAATTAACTGTGGGAGCTGAGGGTGGGCAGCACATGAAATAAAATGCTCATTTTATATAAACAACCCCTTGGGGCTTCCTAGAAAGAGAACTTGTGAAGGTCTAACCTGACAGAGGAAGAGCAACCAAAACTCAGCACGAAGTCTGTGCCCCCCTTCCCAAAATCAGATAATTTTTAGTTAAGAGTTTGATATGGAGGTGTGTGCAGGAGAACAGGATTAAAATCTGGAGCCAGTGGGAGGGGAATATCCCTCTGCACCTGGTTTTGGTGGGGCTGGGAGCACCTCGAGTCCCCTGACCTCCTGCTCTGCCAGAAAACACAAATCCAAGTACTACTGGGTGCTGGCAACCCCCAGCCTCGTGCTTTGGGATGGGAAGGACACTGATCTTTCCCAAACCTTCCTCTCCCTGGTGCTGAGGCCACTGGTCCTGTGGGACCGTGGTTTCCCCCTGTTTTCCTTGGGAAGGAGCGTGTCCAATGTTACTTTATTTTCCTTTTCCTTCTGGAGATCGCAATCCTTCCAGCTGCAACAAAAATGTGTACGTGGTGGTGGTGGTGGGGGGGGTTGGTCTTTATTCCTTGCTCCTTTGGATGAGCCTCGTGTGCCTGGCTCTCTGCTCAGCACTGCCATGCCCTGCTGGGAACGGGGAACGTTTCGGATGAGAAACCTCCCCCCCAAAAAATGCCCAAATGGGTGGTAACTAAGGAGGGAGAGGATGGGAAGGGGTTTCTTTTCCCCCTCTCAAAGGGCATGGGCTTCTGCTGTGCCACAAAAGCCTGTGAGCGCTGCCCAGCCCAAACCCTCATCCAGCAGTTTGGGCAGCACACGGTGGATTTTGGCTCAGCTTGTACCCAGAGCCAGGGGGTTCTGTGCAGGGGTGGGGGCATCTGAGTCCTGCCAGGAGTTGCTCTGTTGGGAGCTCTCCCATCTTAGGACTGGTGGGGGTTGGTGGCTCTGCATCACTGACTTTTATCCTTTCATCACCTCCTGAGGAAGGGAAATGAAACTGTTGTTCTCCCAGGCAGCACCAGAGTTTGGCTCATCTGACAATATCCTTGTGAAGGAGTCTGTGCATTATTTTCCTTGTAAGGGATGCTGTTAATTGCTTTGCTTGAAAGAGTTGTAAAACTCCCATAAACACGTATAACATGCAGGGTTGTGGCTTCCAAATGGCTCTCCAGCATCTTGGCCCTTCCCTGGTGATGATTGTGGCTGGCCTGTTGTGGAGATGGGAATATTTGCTGGCAGCTGAGATAGCTGCTGACGGGCCAAGAAGTTTGATGGAGCCCTGGAGGAGCTTCCTGGGTCAGAGTGATTAAAGGCCTCCTCCTCAGGTGCACTTTAATTCTGGATTTCCACCTGGGCCAGCAATTCCCAAAACTGTATCTCTGTTCAGGGTGTGGAGCTGGTGAGGAAGGGATCAGTGCCAGGAGAGCAGGAACACACTGTTGACCTAAACCCATGATTTTTAATTGGGCTAGCTGTGAGTGAATCTTTCTGCCTCGTGCTGGTAGGAGCACAAACAACTCCAGATTTTTTGGGGGCTAAAAAAAATTATCTCTTTCATCCGTGTGAAGCTGAATCTCTGCAGTTAATGCAGATGTCTAATGTGGGATACGGGGATGCACCAAGGAGCAGCAGAGCCCAACTCGGATTTATTTGCTTGTTTAAAGGTGTGTGTTGCCATCTGAAAACGATCTTCAAAAATATTTCACAGGGCTGGTGGTTGCTCACCCATATTTAACCCCATTTCTGACCTTACTGCAGAGGGGATGTCGAGATTCACGGGCCAAATCTCCTCATTTAGGTCTTTAAACAGCTCAGAAACTTTTATGCCAAGAATGGAAACATCCCAGCTCTGTAGACTGTGGATTTGCTCCACTCTGATCTCGGTGGTTCACTGAGGTGGGGGGGGGGGACCAGCCTGGCCTTTTTTGTTCCTATTTAACCTTTCTGGGTCTCACTTTTTCTCCTGCCTGGGAAACAGGGAGGAGGGAGGGGGAGCTGCTTGGCCAAGATCTCAGTGTGAGTCCCTGGCAGATTGAAAATACCAGTAATAAGTTTTGACTCTAAGCTCCAACTGCAGACAGCAGCACTCACTGGGGTTGTGGGGTTTTTATTTTTTTTTTTTTTAGATCATTATTTGCTGGGGGGACTCTGGTGCTGTAGGGAAATGCAGGGGGGAAACACATTTCCCTGTAGCTCCATGTAATTTTTTTGCACTGAAGAGAAGCCCCCAGAGAAGGTCCTGGGGGAGTGGCTGCTCTGGTGGGGGTGAATGTCCCAACTGGCTGCTGGTTCTGGGGACTGGGATGATTTAAGCAGGCACGTTGCACGTGGTGTGGCCAGTTTGGTCTCTCGGGGGGGGCTGTGTGTGTGCAAACCCTCATGTCCAGGGACATGGGATGCTGCTGGAATCCCCAGGGAACCCAGAAATAGCTGCTGGGATGGTCCCCAGGAGGAGCCCAGCTGCTGGTCCCAGCCTAGGGTTGGATGGGATGTTGTGACCCAGGATGCCCCCATGACCCTAATCCTGGTTGATCTGCAGCTGGGAGAGGAGGATCCCACAGCCCTGCTGCTCCAGGCTCTCTGCATGGGGATCCCACGGGGATTCAAGTCCTTGGGATGGGTTTTCCACCCCTGGAACAGCCCAGGTTTCCAGGGCAGCACAGGGACCTTGCCCTCCCATCTCGTGGCTCTGGCAGCTCCTGCCGTGGGACACGTGGGCACCTTGGAGAGGAGCTTGGTCGATAAATGCCACGGAGGAGAAAAACCACAGGTGTCTGGAGCACCTCCTGCCTTCCTGGAGGAAGGACCGAGGGCTCTGCTGACTCACAGCCCCGGGTTTGGAGGGGGGGTGGTGCTGATGAGTAAAGGCTGAAGTAAGGAGTGATGCACTGGAAATCAGTCACCCCAGAAGGGATGACTCCTCAAGTGCCACTGAGAAAGGCAAGTGCTGCTCGTGGTGATGTCAGGGATGATTTCAGAGTCCTTGAAAATGTGTCTCAGCTCCGCACAAAACTTCTTACCTGCTTTTTTTTTTAGTTGTCTTCAGGGTTTAAGTGCATTTTTTACATCACAGTGGGGAGTTACTGTTAAAGGATGGCTTTGGAAACAAAAGGTCTGGGTGTTTTGAAATAACCAAAAATCGAGTTTTACATGGAATTTTATAAATGCTCAAGTGCAAAAGAGCAGGTTCCTAGGACAGGCTCAGCTGCACAAGCATCATGCCAGTCCCAGACCCTTTAACCCTCATCCATCCCATGGTTTCAAAGGCATTTCCAATCCCCACTGGCCAGTTCCCCTTTACCTGTGTCTTTTAGTCCATAAAAAACAAATTTTTAATCCCTTATCTTGATTGTTGTGGCCTTTACCTGGTTCTGGGTTGCTTTCCAGAGTCCCTGCAACCCCCTCCTTCACTGGCACGTTCACATTCACCTCAGTTTTGGAGCCACTTTTTGGTTGCTTGGACTCATATTTTCAATTTATTTTATTTTTTTTTTTCCCCCTGTAGTTCTGGCATCAGACTGAATTTCATGGGAGGGTGAAAATCAGTGAGACAAACAGATTGTTTTGTTTTTAATGGCTGTTCAAAAGCAGCTTGGCCAGGTTTCTGCTGAAGACTCCTTGCTGCAAGGAAGGAGTTCTCCAGACAATCCAGTGTAGCAGGGATGTCCCCAGCAAGCACAACACAAACCTTACTGATAGTTTGATTAGAGCTTTGATTAAAGCTTTGATTAATTCACTGGACAGTAAGGGGGGGGGGGAAAAAAAGCTCTGCTACCTGGCAAGTGGAGGGGGCAAACATGGGCTGGGGAGTTGGCAGAGTATTTAAATAA